CGTGTTTTTCTTGTTTATTTTGCATTTATTTTTTCCCATTCTAGGTTATTTTCTTTGATTCTTGGTCCGAATTGTGTCGTGTCTTGCACTTTCTTTATTCTGTTCGTTTTTAGTTTTTCTTGTTTCTTTTCCCCGGTTTTCTACGTTTTTCTTGTCGGTGGTGATGTGCAGGATAGGTAGTTCGATTGGGAAGTGACCATGCGAGGATAATTATCTAGACGAATGAGTTGGGGTCGAGTAGGAAAAGACGGAATCCAATTCCGAGTCTGAATGCGTGGATACGAGCCCGGAAATCACAGCCACGTCACAGAAATCATTCACCGCGGCCCGCGACAGCGTTCCCGCGGCCGCGGTGAACAAATCACACCAGGCGCCCAGTTTTCTTCACTGCGGCCGCGGAGGAGGAATTCGCGGCCGCGGAGAGGTCGAGAATTACGAACCGGCGTACAGAGGCAAAAACTCGCGGCCGCGGGACATGTCGCGGCCGCGGACCGTCCCTTCACCGCGGCCGCGGGACATGTCGCGGCCGCGGAGAGCGCGTTTTCAGAATTCAAAATAGCAGTTTTTTATTTTGAAGGAGGCATTCGTTTTTGGATCTAGGTTTCGAACTCTCTAGGGATTTTCACCCAAAAACTCAAATTTTCTCTTGTTTCTGATCTTGTGATTCGATCTTGGAGAGGAAAACTCCAGGATTCGACTTTAGGATTCAGTTTGCTTTCGTTTTCGACATTGGATTATTCAATCGTAAGCTTTCATTTGGTTTTATTATTGATTGAATGGCTTTGATTATTATGTTTGCTGATGTTGAATGCATGATGAGTAGCTAAATCCATTAGCTAGGGTTAGGGGAAGATCATTCCGGTTCGATTTTGTTCATATGCATGATAATTGCTCTATCCTCTCGAGTTGTGCTTAGCCTAGGGTTTTGATGTTTGATCACCATCTTAATCTAATTAATCGATTTTATAACTGAAAAGGGAGAAATCGTTCGATCTAGGCTCGTTAGGAGTAAGCTTGTTCGTAATAGTATTGCTTATGTGTTGATTGTCTCAAGAATTACTCGTTTATGTCTATCCTCTTGTTACGAAAAGTTATTGAGGATAGATCTCTAGATGAATAGTTTTGTGAGGCCTTTAACCGAGATTTTGTTTGCTCGTTGAGTGCATTGAGAACCGGAATTGATTGACCCCGATACCCTAGCTCCTTTATAATTATTTGAGTTTGAACTTGTGATTCCTAGTTTTGTCTAGTTTTTCCAATTACTTGCTTTTCAATTTGTAGTTGGTAATATTAAACCAAATCAATCGAATTAGAGTGTTTAGGACTTTTTCATTATTTCGTGTGATTGAATATTCACATAGAATAATCCGGCTAACCTTCCTCGTGATACGACCTGGTGTCGAATCTTTGGATTCTACTCCGGTTTAAATATATTTACAACAGATGCGATTACTTTCAGATACTTGATTAGTTTGGCCATCCATGAAAATCTTGAGATGCGTCTTATGGATGTTGTGACTGCTTACTTATATGGATCACTAGACGCTGACATTTATATGAAAATTCCAGAAGGAATTAGAATGCCCGAAGCACTAAAGTCCAAACCTAAAGAGTTATGTGCGATAAAGCTGCAAAGATCATTGTATGCCTTGAAACAATCCGGGCGTATGTGGTACAATTATTTGAGTGACCAATTGTTTAAACGGGGATACATAAATAATCAAATATGCCCGTTTGTTTTTATAAAAAGATCACAAGATGGAGTTGTGATAATTGCTGTCTATGTCGATGATCTTAATATTATTGGGACTACAAATGAAATTCAAGAAGCAGTCACTTTACTAAAAGGCGAATTTGAAATGAAAGATCTCGGACAGACCAAATATTGTCTCAGCTTGCAAATAGAACGGGTCCAAAATGGGGTATTTGTCCATCAATCTAATTACACTCAAAGAATACTGAAACGATTCAATATGGACAAGGCGAATCCACTTAGTACTCCAATGGTCAATCGAACATTAGATATTGAAAAGGATTCGTTTCGACCTTGTGAAGAAGATGAAGAAATACTTGGTCCTGAAATACCATATATGAGTGCCATAGGAGCTCTTATGTATCTTGCTAATTGTACCAGACCAGATATATCTTTCGCTACCAACTTATTAGCAAGATATAACTCGGCACCTACGAGGAGACATTGGAATGGAATTAAGCATATATTCCGTTATCTCCAAGGGACAATCGATTTGTGACTATTTTATTCTAACGATAGAAAACATGAAATAATCGGTTTTGCAGATGCAAGATATCTCTCAGATCCCCATAAAGCAAGATCTCAAACTGGATATGCTTTTACGATTGGCGGAACTGCATTCTCTTGGCGCTCTCAGAAACAAACGTTAGTTGCGACGTCTTCAAACCATGCTGAGATCATTGCACTTCATGAAGCAAGTAGGGAA